TAGAAACTTGCACCCACTTGTGAAAGAGATGGATTCTTGCTCTGTAGTGTGTTACTGAATGTTAATGCTATAATGAAATGCTTCTTCTAAAAATTTTTTTTTATTTATTATTTTAAAAAAAGAATTTCCAACTTGGCTAATAACAAAATCCAACAAGTACATTTAAAAAATATACTTTATGTACCTTATTTTGAAAGTTTTGTCTAAGGAATTAAACTGACTACTTTAGTCAAAGAAAGGAGGTTGGGTGGGAAATGCCAAACAAAACAAGAAAAATTACATGGGGGTTCACCTCATGTAGACTGCAAAAACCCTGCTTTAGTAGCTACACTTCCTGGAACAAGGGTGGTTTGGTATGCTTACTGCTAACCTGCTCAACAGAAATCAAGTGGAGATACAGGTACAAGTCTGAAAACTGTACACAGCCCTAAAGCCGCTCCATAATCCATCCACATGCAGCGAGTACCTTGCTAGGCTGCTAAGAGAGACTCAGAGAACTAAAAATGCCCCACAAGGATACTCAAAGTGTTTCCATGAATAACACAAATGCCTTTCCCTGAGAAACGACTTCTACCCCATCAAAGGGTGAGAGTCAAAATGCTCATCATGGTACAATGGATGCTGTGCCCAAACAGACATGCTGTGCTGCAGCTGGAGCATGGGTCACTCCAACTGCCTGGCTAGATCCCAGCACATCCAGCGCATTCCTAGATTTCAGCTCCAATATTCTCTGGAGCTGAGCCAAGAATACAGACAAGCTGATCAATTGTGCTTCTGGCCTATAAGTCATATTATCATACCACAACAATAATTACAACTTATGAAGTGTGTATTATTAAGCCGAAAACACCAAGCAAAAGAGGTAAAGCCAGAAATGGAATCAAGGATGTGGGATTCCAAGGCTTGCTCTTTATACCGTCGCCCTGCTGCCTTGTTTAGCTACCGTTTCTTCAGCTCTGATTACAGTGGATATAAAGTTGGTGTATTAAGGGAAAATGTGCACAGCTGGTTAAATCAGAGACCTCTCACTAGTTATACACCTTAGGTCTGTCCAGGTGGCTTTAGCACTGAAAGTTCTGCATTCTAGGAAAGGCTCAGTCTCCATCTATCATCCTGTACACACAAAACATATGAAACTTAAACAGCTAAGCTAGGAAGAAGGGGAGAAAATAAAGTGAGGTTGTATATCCTGTGCTACCCTGAGTGACAAACACAGATGGCACCATGCCACCTCTTTCCCTGGGAGCAAGTTTGGCTAGTACACTTGCGACACCTGCTGTCACTGTCTTTGAGATTGCTTTTCTCAGTAGGAGGTGAGAGTTCAACAAAGCAGTGGCTTATAATGCTGTTAACCATACTTTTTCTTCACCATACTTTTGTATAGCATAAATGAACTGGCTGAGGTGACTAGGTTAAGGTTATGGGTAAGAACAGCTGATAGTCTCATTATGCAAAATGCAGCTATACCACTTCAAAATCTTCAAAGGCTGCACTTTTGAGTCTCCTACAGAGCTCTACTTATGAAGAATAAATTTTCAGTCTATACCTGTAACCCTCATACCCCTTTTAAATGTACCACTTTCTTCTCAAACAAGCAACAAAAAAGAAGCAAAATAATAGGATAAATAAAACATTAGGGAAACTATGCAAAATACATGGCAGAAAAATACTTCTTATCCAAATGGTTTTAAATGATCTATTTATATTTAAGAAGCAATACAATTGTTGGGGGACCCTGCTGCTGGGGTTGTAGTCCTCCATGTCCGGATAGCTCTAAGGGGTTCGGTGCTATATGGAAGGACTCCCTTTCTCAGCAGGGGCCTCCTGCTTCCTGCCTGACTTACCTGGAAAGTGCCTCCAAGCACAGATGCCTGACCTTATTTGGAACATGACCTTTGGCATAGTTACCTGCAATAAAACTGCCCCCAGGTTTTTTCTATATGATAATTAGGCATTGCCCTATAGTCAGATGATCGGATCCCGCTACCACATGTAAATAAAGCACACTATGAGCACCTATCAGCTGAAGCTTTGGCTGCTGCCTCCACACTATATTTTCCCTAACCCCCACTGAATAAACGGAGCTGTTTCACTGAATCTGGAGCTGTATCACTGAATCTGCCTCCCCAGAAGGGCTCACTGGCTGGTGACCTTGTTCGTCGCTTCTGCTCCCTTTGTCCTTGTGATCGGTGGTCAGTGACCCACGAGGGAAGGGACAGACCCCACATACAATCATTCTTATTTACTTAAAATCTTTTCTCAAAGCTTTTATTATTAGGTCTCTAGTTCACTAAAATAATCCATGTGTACTTAAATCAAAATCATTTTATTCATTTAAATAATGTTCTGTATTCTACACAAATACTAATTTAGGTTAGCCTCCTACAATGTAATCAGTTAAGAGAATTTTATTGCTCTTTATTCTCATATGAATTACAATACTAAAATCTCTTTGAATTCAAACCTAAGCAGAAAAGGAACAGAAAAGAATTCAGGCCAACAGAACAGCCGTTACATAATCAGGCGTTCCAGAGGCAGCCCCAGGCAGACCACCACTGTGGATGTTTTCAGAGAACCAGTGAGATGTGCTGATTTAAGGAAAATGAAGAGATTTAATGGTCACTTTCTGAGGCCTCTATGTGTAGGCTTTACAAACCAGAACTGGAGAATGTAAAACCCGAAATCATTTTAAATTGAAATGTTTTCCATGCCCTAGGCTGAGGAACACCAACAAAAGCTGAATCTAGAGACAGAGGGTCTGTGCAGATGTCAACAGGTACTTTTTGTCAATAATCAGATTGGGACTGGCAAAGTGAAGGGGTCAGGATCGATGAGGAGATTGCTAGGAAACAAAGAGATGGGACAGAAGCGGTTCAGAGTAGCTGAAACCCAGTAATAATGACTTCATGAAAAAGGCACATGGACGCCATAACAGATCTGCAGGCAAAACTGGACTGAGGAGGAGCTAACACAGGTGGCTGGACTGGCTCAGACATTTTCAAAGAAGCAAGTGAATTTCTAACAGAGATCTAAGACATCAAAGCAATTCAGATGTATTTCAGGTGACAGGATCAATTTCAAGTCTAGAGTTCACATCATAGGGCTGTACTTTCAGGTGATGATTTATTATGCCTGTATTAAGAGTGAAATAAGGGGCTGGAGAAATGGCTCAGTGGTTAAGAGAGCTTGATGCTCTTCCAGAGGACCTGAGTTCAGTTCCCACCATCCATGCCAGGCAGCTCACAATCACCTGTAATTCCAGCTCCAGAAGATCTGATACCCTCTTCTGGCCTCCATAGGTACCTGTACACATGGCGCGCACACGCGCACACACACACACACACACACACACACACACGCACACGCACGCACACACACAAACCCCTACACAATAAAAATAAAATCTTTTTTTTTTTAAAGAGTAAAATTACAGGAGCTAGAAAAATGGCTAAGTGGTTAAGAGCCCTTGCTGTTCTGGCAGAGGACCCAAGTTCTGTTCCCAGCACACAAATGGAGGCTAACCACCATCCGGATCCAGTTCCAGGGGATACAATGCTCTATTCTGGCCTCCATGGGTACTGCACACAAGTGGTGCCTTTATAAACATGTAGGCAAAACCTCAAACACACAAAATAAAAATAAATATTCTTTAAAAGGAATAAAATTACATACAAGTAAAACTGGTTAGTGTCAGAAGACCTTGGTTCTACAGTGGCTCTAATCTATGTCCCTGGTGACTCCTATCACTCCTGCACCTTAGCTCCATACTGGGATGGCATTGCTACTTGCCCTATATATGAGGGAGCATGGGGATACTCACATAGTTTACAGGGATAACACATTGTCCTGAGTTCATGAATGGCACAAGGACAGAGATGAGCACAAGGTGTCAAGGAGCAAGGTGGGGCATGGGACTTGGGTTCACTGCTAAATTCAAGCCTTTCTAAATGCTAGCTTTCTCATTTCTTAATGTAAAATTCTACAGCTTGACATGCAGAAAAAAGCCCCAAAAGAAGGATCCTTTTTCAAGATGATGACAAATGCCTTTAATAAAGGAACCTTCTCCCTAGACAAAGTGTCTATCTTTTTCAAGCTGAAATCACTTTATCAAGAATGAATAAAAAGTACCCAAATAGATAAACAAATTAAGAGTGTAGATTTAGAGGACAACAAGTGGTGCACAAGCTTCAAGGCTGCATGTGTGCTGCTGGACAAATGACTCCTGGGGGCCAAAAACTGTTTACATAATCTTTATAAATAACCTAACTTTTTTTATACTTATCATACTTTGGTGTCATTATGTATAGCCAAGTGAAAAGATGAACTCCCACTCACCTCTGAAATGCAAGAAGTGCCTTTCTCTGTAGGACCTCCTGCATCCCTCGCAAAGAAGCTGAGAAAAAGGTTCAGTTAGTAGGTGGCAGGGGAGATGGGGGTGGGGTCACAGTACACAACTCATCACAAGAGCTATGCTTCATGTACCCAGTCCTGAGTGTTGACCACACCAGGCACTGTTAGGACAGGAAGCCCAGCACCCCCACACACACACCCAAGGCTCTTGCATATTCAGTAGACATGAAACAATATCAAGGGGTCAGTGTGAGCTGGTCATTCTTAGTAGCTACACACACATGGGAACCACTTTTTCAAAGACCATTTGGAACCCTAGAAAGAGCACATTGGTTCTCTTAAGACAGGCATGTAAGCTCATGGGGAAAACTTGGCTCTGCCAGGGTGGTACAGATGGGGCTCAAGTACCAGTGGATCAAAGGCCTTCAGAGACCTTTCTGGCACTCAGCAGCAATAATCTTGAGTCAAGGACTTTGGCTTGATGCCACAAAAACCAGTTTAATTCACATTGGCTAATGGCCAGGATTCTAATATCTTGATATGAACAGAAGAGATGGAGCTGCCAAACCCAACACAGATACCAGAACATCAGCTCACAAGTATGAGGCCTCTTAGCTATGACCTAACACTTCCCCTATGTGGAGCATGAGAAATGGCTCTCTTATAATTTGCCTAGGTACAAAAAAGGTATTTTTTTAATGGTGTAAGGAAGAGTCCTGAGGAGCCTGTCTATAGTTGAGCTGCAGGAGTCCCTTATCTACTGGCTGTACCAAGCAGCTCTGGCCTGACAGGAGATTGAGCAGTGCAAGGATATGGCTGAGGCCCAAGGCTACTTAGAACAGTGACTGAGCTACAGAGAACCTCCCATTGACCCAACTGAACTCTGAATGCAGGAAGCCCAGCAGGGTCCACTGATTCCCAAAGGTTTCTGGCTGTTTACGGGTAGAATCAAGAATTTCATAGGTAAGTCTATGGCATTTGGTTAACTCTTCTCTGAGCATGGCCAATATATCATGTCTAAATGGAAAATGGTCAGAAATCCAGTACTGAAAAGTAACTTATATGCCCCCAAATATAACATTTTAAGGTAGAGGAAAGATTTAGGTTAATTTGTAAAACAACCTCTAAAGAAAATTATAAAGAAAACAAAAGAAAATACTGTGAGTCACAATGGTGTTTTGTCTTGGTGGGAATGGGGAGCTGTGATCAGCCAGGGAAGTGGAGAGACTCGCCAGGTAGAAGGCAAGATTCTGCTTCCTGCAGAGGCTTAATATGGTGCCTCATATTAAGCCAGTAAGCTATAGATTTTTTTAGAGGGTTTTTTTTTTGGTATTTGTATTATATTTTACAAAATGTTAAAAGAATAAAAATAATGTCAGTTTATACTTTCTACAAAAGCTTTAATTATATAAAACATAATTATGATTTTTTTTAATCAAAAGCCCACCCACCAAAACCTTTCAATATATCCAAATATATAATCCATGGCCTTCAAGAGTCATGGGTACTAGTAAGCTATACTGCATGTGGACAGGTTTATGAGTTAAAATGTGTGAACAGTGAAGAGGACAGTGAAGGGTCGCTCCTTACAATGTTTGTCTGAACTTCCTATACTTCTATACCTAAGAATCAACATCCTTTCCCTTGGGAGTGGGCCAGGTGAAGGGCTAGGGCTGGGATGGTGGCAGAGTTATGCTGGCTAACTCATCTCCCGAGGCCCTGCTCCTCTCACCCCTCATGGTAGATGCTGAGCACCTGCTAGCTAGGAACCTGGGCGCCATGCCACCAGCCCTATGTTCCTATGACCAGAGCCTGGGGGCCCTGACCTAGGGCCTTCCTTATTCCCCATCCCAGTCCAGGCAAAAAAGATAGGAGTACTGGGTGCCCACGGGCCTGAGTACTGACAATGATTCAACTTCTGCACCCTCTCAAGACAGGAGGGATCATGGGACCCTGTGGGGCAGTCTTGGGCTTTGCAGGATGGGACTTCTCTCACCATCAGTGGCCTGCAAACTGTATGTGAGCCCCAAAGCTAGGTAGCCTTTGGCCTTGAATTCTGATGTTTTCTCTCCCACGTCGACAACAGTTTTGGCAAACTTCTCAGCCTCTTCCAACTGAAAGAGAAGACAAGTTAAAAACAACAACTTGCAGAACTTCTAACATGAGTTCCCAAAAACAGCTACTGCCAAAATGGATTTCAGAGGAGTCACTTTGGAAATAACTCTGCAGTCCTCCAAAGCTGCCCTAGCAATTCTCTTTTCTTTACTGAGCTTCTTCCGTAGTTCTTAGGACTCCAATTTTACCTTTTATTTTTTTCCTTTCAACATTTCCTCATTGCTTCTTTTCCAAAGTCACTTTCATATTTGCTGGGTTCTGCCTTTTCTATCTTTAGTTTTTATTGACTGGTTCTATAATGAGGTTGGACTCAGCAGTCAGAAATTGAATGAAATATATTTTCAAAGGATAAAGTTCTTAGAATGATTTGTATTTAGGTCTTTCCCTTTGTTCATTACATAAAAAATACATTTAGGCTTGGATTTTGTTTGCCATAAGCTATTGAACATTTCAAATCTCCACCTATTTATTTTTACAGTACACAACACACAGGCCTTACACCAGCAGATTCCACTGAGAAAATATGCACTTGTAGACCACACCCATAATGAGAACTCTTGTACAATGCACTAGAGGAAAGAGAGTAAAATGTGTTCCTTTACATGTGTGGCAAATGATGGCACTGAGTTGGATGGTAGTACACAGGAGTTCATTATATTCTTGACTGTGCAGGTCTTTGAAATTTTTAGTGAAAAAATAAGAAAATATATATAGAAAAAAATATGCTACTCCCACTGCTAAAAAAGAAGGTTTTGTCAGGAGTTCAGAGATATGTCTGTCACAGTGATAACTAGAGCCAGAGCTGGAAAGAGGGCAGCAGAGTCCCCAGTGGAAACCAGATGTTCCAAACCCAAGGTCCTCTCTGTCGCTCCCTCCCAGGCCTTCGCCATTGTTCCTCTGCTCACAGCCCCAAATTGCTGAATCCACAGGAGTATACTATGCCACAGCACAGCTGTGTGCTTCAGACTGCTCTTTTTCTGCTACCAGTATATCAAGTGAAATGGAACAACATGGATCACTTTCTTTACAAGGTTCACTTTCTTCCTACTGGGTGAGAACACATGGAAAAACCAGGCAGTGAGGACTAGGGCAGAAAACCCGAATTGGCAAGGAGCCTTTGGCTTCCGGCAAATTATTCTTACCGTGAACTTGATAAGAAGTTAAAACAAATGAAAACTCTACTGTAAGAGGCAACTGTGCATACCACCATCTTAACAAGCTAATCAGTTTTCCGTTTCCCAATGGCATCTTTTTGAGTTACTAGAACTATGACAAATTAGACTATTGTCACATTCAGATTTGAACAAGAGTATCTGAAGACAGTGTATGTGAAGAGGAATGAAGAGAGCTATGTTTACACATGCATAGAGATAGAAGTAAATCTCTGCAGAACTGCCCAGGCTGAGCCGCAGGTGACTAGAGTTCCCACCTTCTCAGTCTAACACAGCATGTGCACAACAAGCTATATCTGAGCACAAATTCTAATCTCTCTTATTGCTACTACTTTTCCACTATAAAGAAAACGGGAGTGCCCTGGAGACATACTGGTTCCCACAGGGTGAGTGAGGCTTGATATGGAAGACATGGAAGAGGCTGGCCCCTGACTTGGAGCCCCTTAGGAAGAAGGCAGAAGTTCCCTACTCACCCAGTGAAGGGAGCCCACACACAGCTTGGCAGCCAGGAGCGGGATGGTGGCGTCATCAGGCTTCAGACGGATGCACTCCTTCAGCACCTTCACGGCCCGGGCAGACTAGGCAGGGGAGAGTAGTTTTGTGAAACTGACAATTTCTAACAGAACCAAATACTCAAGTCTTTTCAGAGGGGTTTCCCAGCCAGGCAGGGGCCTCGGGATGGTGAGAACCAAAGCTTGAGGCTCAGAGTGACAAGGGAATCAACTGTTCTCAAAAGCAAGCAGAAATGCTTCCCGGGGACCAGCCTATCTCACGCCCGCTGTGCAGCCACTGCAACAACATGAGAAAACAGAATGCGGAAGGCTAAGCTGTCATAAAAGTTAGATGTCTCATTAAAAGTATACCAAATTATATTTCTGAGTCCATTTAGCCAAATAATCTTCTATCTGAGACTTCATGATTCACTAAAAGCCAAATTCACTGATAGGCCAAAACTAACAAGAAAAGCAAGGGCTACCATCTTTATCAGGTGTGTACATGCTGGGGCTGCTACCCTAAGTACTTGTACAATTTAGCATATTTGTCAGATAATTTCAGGAAGTTGGCACTATTATTGCTCTATTTTACTGAAAAGGAAACTGAGGCACTGAGTGACCTGTACTGGGTCACTCAGCTATGACAGTGGCTCAAGCTTCCACCAAGCTGCTGCAGTCCACGGCCTGTGTTTGCAGCCAGAACCATCTGTGGTTGACGGCACGGATAGCCAGAGGGAACCCACAAATGCGCCTGCACACACCTCTCAAAGGAGGACAAGGTTTAGTTTAAACCATGTCCATTTCACATGGTGAGTCATAGCAAGTAGAAAAGCCCAAATCTTTCAGAACTTTCCATCTTAGTGCTATGCACATCTTGGACCCCAAATAATTAAATTTAGTTGTCTATTATGAAAGGCCCACAGGCAGTTTGAAGCCGTCTTAGCCTTCCTCAGATGGCTTCATGAAATGCAATGGCACAACCACTGACAAAGTGGTACTCATGAAGAAACTCACCTTTCCAGCAGCCATTAGTGACAGAGCAAACTGGTACCAAAGATGGAACTCCTCAAAGGCAAACTTCATGGCTCTTTCTAAGCACTGGTTGGAAAGAAAAGCAAACAGCAACTCCTTAAGAAATATCACAAGTGGATCCTTGTTAAGTTTGCATCTATGGTAATTAAGTCTACCAACTGAATGCCTAGAACTCTCCACCACGTGAGGAGTTTCCACATTATGCAGCACATGGCATCAGAGGACAGAAAGTCTGCAGCTGGTTCAGACACAAGAGAAGCTTTGCTCTGAGAAGGGAAAGAGGCAGGTACACAAACATCCCAAACACAAGGCCCAAACTATCAAGTGTCCATGGGCAGGAAACAGGAGTCCTGTGGGAAGTGACCGAAGGCTTTAAGAACTACATCCAGAAGAGCAGCCACTGAGGTGGACCACGACAATGAGAAAAGAACCCAGCTGGGGGACAGGAATGGCACTCCAGGACAAGGGGCACAGGATGTGCCTCAACTTAGTTGTGAAAGTGTTGGGAGCTATTAATATAAGCGCAGCCATTATGTACATTGAGTTGCGGCAGGCTTGTTTACTTAGAGTTTGTGTTTTGCACACCAGTACCTAATCTGCCAAATCAGGAGGAATGTGTTTATAATTTAGGGAAGATGGTTAAATGGTGGAGTTCACAAGTATCTGACCGCTCCTTGACCCTCAGATACAGGTGGGAAAAACCGCTGTTGAAGCTAATTGAGTTGAGCAAACGGTGGCTGTCTCTGATGTTCTACTGTATAAAAGCACACATCCCTGAGTTTGGATTTCCAGCATCCACATAAAAAGTCAGGCACGGTGGAATGAGCTTGTAATCTTGCATTGGGGAGGCAGAGACAGGAGGATCCCTGTGGCTCACTGTTCAGTCAGTCTAGCCGAATCATGAGATCCAGGTTCAGTGAGAGACCGTCTTAAAAAGTAAGATGAAGTTGGGCATGGTAACTCACATCTTTAATTCCAGCTCTTGGGAGGCAGAGGCAGGCAGATCCAGGACAGCCTAGTCTACAAAGCAAGTTACAGGGCAGCTGGGGCTATAGCAAGACCCTGTCTCAAAAAACCAAAAAGTTGGGTGGAGGGTAACTAAAGCATGTATATATGTGTACCCGAACACATACATGTACACATACATATATACACATATGATCTTCAGAGAAGGTCACAACAAATAAAATGTAGTTGATTAACCTTGAAAACCTGCCCTAACAAAAACCCATGCAAAGCAAGGTCACATGCGGCTAGTCAGCCTCAGCTATATGCTGAACAATGGCACAGGGTGGCCTTCTGCAATCCCAAGTAATACTGGAAGTGAGCTCGGCTAATAACTGGGTGGACATATGAATTGGTTGTGAAGACTGGAGCTGGCTGGGTGGTGACTGGGCACCTCCAGGAAAGCCTTCCATGAGGAGGGGCATCCTCAGCTTTGCCTCTGGTACCATTTCTTAAAAGCTGGAGGGGAAGCAGCCAGGAGGTGATAAGCATGAGAAGAGACACCAGGATGAACAGAAAGCCAAAGTGCCTAGCTTCTGAGCATGCCAAGCTGCGGTGGGGGCAAAACAACTCAAACTTGCTTACACCACTATTAGAAGGCTCTGTTAATTGCACAGGGATATATTCAGCACAAGTGACTGAGTTGGGAGGTGAGCCTGACCCCACAGCCCTGGCTGTACAACTGATGCTAAGTCCTCCACAGCTGCTACTATGCATTTGGGAAGCACCTTGGGAAAATCCAAAGCAGCCTACTGGGAAGAACAAGTCAGCACTATGGGAGATGGGCAACGAGAGACCTAATCCAAGCAGGTGGTATGGGCTGAGGATATGGCAGAGAGGTCAGGTGTGATGAGGAGGGTACCAACCAATGAAAGGCCAGCAGTATTTAGAACCTGATACTGAAGATGGGATGAAGGCTGACAGGGAGGAAGAAACAAGGCTGATAGTCACAGGGTCTGAGTTAGGTCAAGAGGTTGCAATGTGAAAAGGATAGACCATGATCAAACCCCAGGCTTGTTCTAAAGCCCTCCGCAGCTAATTCCCAGCAATACAACCACTAAGTACTTAAATGTATATACAGCAACATCTAAATGTTGAGATGCTTTTTCTTCCTCCTTTACTGGGAAGAATGATAAATATCAACTGATTTTCCAGTCAACAGAGTTGCTCAGCCACTGAAACAGACTGTTCTGAATCAAAAAGCCAGGTGCTACATCAAATATGTGTGTATCCTTATTTGCTTTTACACCAAAGGCTAGCATAGTCATCACACTCTGTGAAGAATGTTTACTGGTGCCTACTTGGTATCTAGTTCCATTCCAGGTACTGCAGGAAAATGCCACAGGAAGTCAGTCCTGGTCTCCAACATAGAGTTGAGTCCTGAAACCCTGGGCTATGGGACATGGAGGGCATCCAGGGAAGGGCATTAAAGAAGAGAGTATTGGATATTTTGGCTGTCTTTCATTTAAAACTTGGCTAAATTTTTTTGAGGGGAAAGGGTAGGAGTGGGAGGATCCCAGAGAAAAAGAATACAATAGGATTGAGTGTGTCGTGTGATCTAGTCACAACCAATCAGATAGTCCTGCTGAGCAATGACGGAGGTAGTGGGCACACAGGACCTTATTCTCGGTGACCAGGTCTGGGGGCCACAAGGACAGTAAGCTTAGTGGAGGCCTCCTAAATGAACCATAGGTGGTCTCCTAAACTGGGACCAAGGCCTCCCTGCCTTGATGTCTGTTCCAGTCTATCCTTGGGATGTTGTGGCTCCTGTGGGCTGAGTGGAACAGGTGCAGATGGGTGCCTGCTTGTGTTTTCAAGTCAGGTTCTATCACCTAGAGTCAAGGCCTACAAATCCACATAAACACATACCTCAGGCTCCTCCTGCAGGTCCCAATAAGTAGTTTAAAAATAATTCAGGTGCCACCACAGACTGGACTTGTATAATAAGCAAGCCAGAAAAATTCTGCTCCCAAATTCTCTGGGGGCTGTAATAGTAACTAATACAGGCAGGAACCAGAGAAATTGAATTAGTTAATACTTAAAAAACTATATGAGAATTAAGCAAATTGTCAGTCTCAGAATGACAGATATCATATATTTTCTCCGTCTGTGGTCCCTAGATATTACACAGCTACATAAAATCATGTGTGTATGTATGATGTGAAAGTAGAGCTACCATGGGGACAAAAGGGACTAACGAGAGAGGGGGAGGGACAAAGGGGTTAGGAGGCAACATGCTTGATGTACAATATATGCTGGTATAAAAAAATTAAACTTAAAAAGCTATTAGATGGTGCATGCCTTTAGTCCCAGTACTAAGGCAGAGGCAGGCAGATCTCCGTGAGTTCAAGGCCAGCCAGGTCTACATAGTGAGTTCAGGTCAGTTGGGGACTACAGGGAGACCCTGTTTCAAAAAAAAAAAAAAGGCTATCAGAAATAGTAGTTCAGATATATGCTAAATACAGGTTAGCTATTTAGCCCTTTAAAAATTCTTTACTTTTTTTTTTTTTTTGTGAGATGAGATCTCATGGTATGGCCCAGGTTGACTTTGAACTCTTCCTAGACTCAACTGATCCTCCTGCCTCAGCCTCCTGAGTAGCTGGGAATACAGAGGTACACCACTGTACCCAGCAAAATATTTTAAACATTCCTTTTGTTGTTTTTGTTTAAAGTTTTTAACAATTTCCTTTTTTTAAGACTTTTATTATTTTTATTTTATGTGTATGAGTGTATTGCCTGCATGTAAGTAAGTGTACCCGTATTGTGCAATGACTGCAGAGGACAGAAGAGGCTGTTGGATTCCCTGGAACTGGAGTTATGGACAGTTGTTAGCTGTCATGTGGATGCTGGGATTCAAACCTGAGTCTTCTGTAAGAATAGTCAGTATTCTTAACCGCTGACCCATCTCTCCAGCCCCCTAACAATTTCTTTTTTATTTAGTGTGCATGTGTGTGTGTGTATGCCTAGGTACACATGTGGAGGTCAGAGAACAATCTGTGAGAGTCGGTTCATTCTTTCTGCCAGGTGGGTTCTGGGGATTGAACTCAGGTGGTCAGACTTGGTGAACACCTTTACCCACTAAGCAATTTTGTCATCTCTATTTTTGTTGCTATTCTTGTTTTTTTATAATAAAAAAATGGAGACATGTTAGTTTTTACTAAGACCTTTTTCTAAAGTTGTAATGAGAATTATATAATGGTGCCACAAGGGTAGAGCAATTGGCTGTTCAACAGAAAACAATCAAGAGGCATACAGTTACACAGAACCTGGACTTATGAAAGAGCTGGCATTACAGGTCAGTGGGAGAAAGATAAGCTTTTTGGTAAATAGTACTATGACAACTAACTCATAAAGAAAATATTTTAAATTGAATTTTACCTTTTACTTTTCAAAAAAAATAGTTAAGGACAGTTTAAAGATAAACATGAAAAACAAAACTATGAGCTTTTATAAATAGTGAAGAACATCTTTAACCTCTGGGTAGGAAATACACTCTCCTCAAAAAAAGATTACATAATACTTATCTTACCCCAAATTCAAGTTTACAATGGGTATTCACCTCCCTCATTTAGAGAATTCCAGATGGGGCCCTTGAAAATACGGTCCAATATCATAGAACTAGACTAGAATGTAGGTCTGTTTACTTCTTCAGTGAGGTTTTTGGTAGTGCTTACTATGCAGCTAGGCACTATTTTAAGCTCTGTGTCCCTTGGTCATCTTCACAATCTTACATGGCATAGGCAGGTGTAACTGCATCCTCCTTGAAGGGCTAGGAGCCAGAAGCACACAGATTTAAATGACACATAGAATCTCAGTGAGCTGGTAGTAGAGCCAGCTGTGAATCCAGCAGCCTGCTTCCAGAGTCTGAGCTCACAAGCACAACAGCCGACATCCTCTGAGATTGTTATGTCCTGTACATTTCATTTAGCAGGCCACTCTTGCTGTATACAGCAAAGCACACTGAACAAGGCCACATGTTCCCTAAGTATTCCAGAGTTCCAGCAGTGCTCCTTCTGCTAATGAGGTAGCTGCTCCTGTAACCTCTTTGGGATCCTTGGAGT